CCTCCTAGGACCCCCTGGGCTCGGTCAAGCCAGGTTTCCCTGGGTAGGAAAGGAAAATTAAGGTTTAAAAACTAGTATTACAAACCCAAAAAGGAAGTAATATGGGAAAGCTCGGGTTTTTCTCTCCCTCTTTACTTTCTCACTTTCAGCATTTTTTAAATGTAATTATTGTTTGGTTCTTTTTCTGCTTCTTTCAAACAGTTTGTCGGAAGAGTTCCGTGTCATTTTTTTAATTTGTATGTTTTTTGATTCATTTTTTTTTTGTAGTAATTTTTTTATCCCTAATGTCTGAACACTTAAATTATTATAGGTAAACATTTTTTTTGGGCTTTTAGACTGTTTGATATTAAAAAAAAAAACTTTCCACTTGCCAAAACTATTTTTACATGAGGGTCGGGAAATAAACAGCCATAAAAACAGGGCCCTCTTGTAAAAACAACAGTCAAAAACCCTAAACCTGGACCAAGGAAAAAAAACATTGTGTGTGTGTACATAGTGAATAAAGTCGGGGTTTTGTAACTTTTTACGCGAAAAAAAGTCCCCCAGAGAGTCGGTTTAAATTCAGTGGCGACTTGTGCGGGGGTGCGCAGAACGCACCCCCCCCTATTTTCACTTGATTTTTGATAACATTCAAAAGTCTTATTTTTTTTGAAATCTTTCTTTATCCCTTTACTTTATATAATCAAAGAATTAAAAAAATAGGGGCTGCAAAACCCCCGCATGACCCCCATACTTAAAATTTTTTTCCATTTTCCAATGCTCAGAACACACCGACACTCTGTCAGTTATGTGTTGGTTATTAATTTTTTTGATTCCTGAAGACCAGTCAATACATGCAGTGTTTACATATGCTGCTATGTATGATAATTCATTTAACTCTATTTATGTGTATGTTTACTAGAATAAACTGGCTGACTGACTGGACTTACTGATTGACTGACCTACTGACTGACTGTACTGACTTAACTGACTGACTGTACTGACTGACTTACTGATAGGACTGACTGACCCACTGACTGTACTGACTGACTAGAGTGACCTGACTGACTGAATATAGTGACTTAACATACTGACTGGACTAAGTGACTTACTGACTTGGCTAACTATAGTTAGTGAGTACTGACCAACTGAGGGAACAAGACTAAGATTGAGAAAGGTTGATGAGAAATGAGACGCTTGACACTGATATGCACTGCCGTTTCCATGACTAAACTTCTGGTACAGCTTACAATACCGACGGGTTTGGGAGAGCTGTTCATAAGTCTGAGTGGTCTTTAAACAGGTAGGTTGTTAAGTGAGGAGTACCTGTAATATAACTTTAACATTGCTACTCATAAAGACCATGATACAAAAAAAAAAGTCACGAAAAATAGAATATAAAACTAATAGAAAAGTGCCAAAGATTTTATATTATTATATGAGGCACTTTCATATACATGGTACCTCGGTACACATCCTCAATCCATTCCGGGCTCTTGGACGTATACCAAACAAATTTTCCTATAAGAAATATGTATAGGGAAAATGATTAATTCGTTCCCATCAAAGAAATGCTGAACACTGACAATGATGCACCTGCTGCGCATTCTTTGAGTGATGGTGAAATTAGATGAATTGTGATATAAATAATCGTAGAGTTGATATTAGCATCATATTGAAGTATGTCATGCCTCTTAAGAGCAGGAATTCTGCTGGAATGGATTAATGCAATTTAAATTAATTTAAACGAGGAAAACTGACTCAGCACACAAACAGATCGGATACAAACGAGGTCATGGAACGGATTAAATTTGTCAGCTAAGGTTCCACTGTATATGTAAACACATATTGCAACCTTTGCAAAGAAATAAATATTTTATTTATTAACTTATTTAAGAAACCTCTCTCGAGGGGGAAGTTCGCATCCCGAAATTTCCTTCGTATCCAGAAGCAAAAAATCGACCAAACAACGGTTTGTATCCGAGGTTCCACTGTATTATCATATCTTCCATTTGCACGGTCCACTGGAATGTTTTCCCTCCCATGTGGTTTTTTTTTTGGTTTCAATCAATTTAATTTTTGGGAAAGAACATAAGAAAGAATGAACACTGCAGCAGGCCTACTGACCCATGCTCAGCGGGTCTATGTCACCCCTCGGCTTAGACCAATGACCCACCTAGTCAGGTCACTTCCACTTAAGGAAGGAGCACGGCTTCTGACCTAGTAGTACACGCTAGTCAGGACCAACTCACACCCACCCACACCCACTCAAGTATTTATCTAGCCTATTTTTAAAACTACACAACGTTTTTGCTTCTATGACAGACATACAGTGGACCCCCGCATAACCCTATTAATCCGTTCCTGAGAGCTCAATGTTATGTGAAATTATCGTTATGTGAATTAATTTTCCCCATAAGAAATAATGGAAATCAAATTAATCCGTGCAAGACACCCAAAAGTATGAAAAAAAAATTTTTTTTACATGAAATATTAATTTTAATACACACAAACTTAAGAAAACATGCACAGTTACATGACACTTACCTTTATTGAATATGTGCTGATGATTGATGGGATGGGAGGAGGGGAGACTGGATGGTTTTAGTGTTTAGAAGGGGAATCCCCTTCCATTAGGACTTGAGGTGTCAAGTCCTTTTCTGGGGTTGCTTCCCTTCTTCTTTTAATGCCACTAGGACCAGCTTCAGAGTCGCTGGACTTCTGTTGCACAACATATCTGTCCATAGTGCAGCCAGCAGCAACAGCCTGGTTGATCAGGCTCTGATCCACCAGGAGGCCTGGTCACAGACCGGGCCGTGGGGGCGTTGACCCCCGGAACTCTCTCCAGGTAAACTCCAGGTAATAGTGGCCTGTACCTCTCGTTCCTTTATGACTTTCCTAAAGTGTTTCACAACAGTGTCAGTGTAATAGTCACCAGCACGGCTTGCAATAGCTGTCTGAGGGTGATTTTCATCCATGAAGGTTTGCACTTCAAGCCACTTTGCACAGATTTCCTTAATCTTTGAAGTAGGCAACTTCTTCAATTTCTCTCTCCCCTCCTCCAAAGCAATTTCCTCAGGTGTGGCCTCTTGCTGTTGAAGTTGATCTAGCAGCTCATCAGTGGTTAGTTCTTCCATTGTCCTCCTCCACCAACTCTTCCACATCCTCCCCACTAACCTCCAACCCCAAGGATTTCCCCCAATGCCACAATTGATTCCTCAACTGGCATAGGATTCTCAGGGTTAGCCTCAAATCCTTCAAAATCCCTTTGGTCTAAAACATTCTGGCCACAGTTTCTTCCAAGCAGAGTTCAAGGTCTTCTTAGTCACTCCCTCCCAAGCCTTACCTATAAGGTTTACACAATTGAGGATATTAAAGTCTCTCTCCAAAACTCTCTTAGAGTCAATTGAGTTTCTGAGATCACTACAAAGCACCTTTCAAACAGAGCTTTGTGTACAGTTTTTTGAAGTTTGCAATAACCTGCTGGTCCATGGGCTGCAGGAGAGGAGTGGTATTAGGAGGCAAAAACTTCACCTTAATGAAACTCATGTCCCCACAAAGTCGCTCTGCCAAGTCTGTAGAATGACCAGGGGCATTGTCTAACACCAGGAGGCACTTAAGGTCTAATTTCTTTTCAGTTAGGTAATTTTTCACATTGGGGGCAAATGCTTGGTGTAACCAGTCATAGAAAAAGTCCCTAGTGACCCATGCCTTATTGTTTGCCCTCCACAGCACACACAAATTAGCCTTGAGGATATTCTTTTGCCTGAACGCTCTGGGAGTTTCAGAGTGATACACTAATAAAGGCTTCACTTTGCAATCACCACTAGCATTGGCACACATGAGAAGAGTAAGCCTGTCTTTCATAGGCTTATGTCCTGGAGTGCCTTTTCCTCGTGAGTAACATAGGTCCTGCTTGGCATTTTCTTCCAAAACAGGCCTGTTTCTTCACAATTAAACACTTGTTCAGGTCTCAGTCCTTCACTGTCTATGTACTCCTTGAATTCATGCACATATTTTTCAGCTGCTTTTTGGTCCAAACTGGCAGCCTCACCATGCCTTATCACACTATGTATGCCACTATGCCTCTAAATCTCTCAAACCAACCTTTGCTGGCCTTAAATTCACTCGCATCACCACTAGTTGCAGGCATTTTTCTAATTAAATCCTCGTGCAACTTCCTAGCCTTTTCACTTATGATCGCTTGAGAGATGCTATCGCCTGCTATCTGTTTTTCGTTTATCCACACCAATAACAGTCTCTCAACAAACTTCTATCACTTGCGATCTCTGTTTTGAAAGCACAGTTAAACCTTTGGCAAGAACAGCTTCCTTGATTGCCGTTCTCTTGGACACAATAGAAACGATGGTTGATTGGGGTTTACTATACAACCTGGCCAGCTCGGAGACACGCACTCCACTTTCATACTTAGCAATGATCTCTTTCTTCATCTCCATAGTAATTCTCACCCTTATTCCTGTAGGGTTGGCACTAGAAGCTTTCTTGGGGCCCATGGTCACTTATTTTTCAGGTGAAATCACTATAAAAAGGCTGTAATAATACGAAATGTTCTGATTGTATGCTTGAATGTTACCGCGGAGGCTGGCTTGTAAACAATGCCACTGGCAGAACAAGTTAGCTGGCTCAGGCCGCATGGACGTGTCTCGGACGAATCGCGTTGAGCGAAGTTTTTAGCACTATGCGAGGCAAAATTTTAGCGATAAAATGTATCGCTATGTGGATTTAACACTATGCGATGCCAACGTTATGTGGGGGTCCACTGTACTTGGGAGTTTGTTCCATTCATCCACAACTCTATTACCAAACCAGTGCTTTCCTATATCCTTTCTGAATCTGAATTTTTCCAACTTGAAATCATTACTGCAAAACCGAACTCTGATATGATTTCTAACTGGTATGAAGTCTGAGGTGTTTTACTAAATTTGATTTATATGGAAATGCCTTTAGGCATTCTGAACACTTGAATGGTTTCTCTCCAGTATGAATTCTTATGTGCCTTACTAAATAAGATTTTCGTGAAAACCCTTTAAGACACTCTGAACACTGAAATGGTTTTTTCTCCAGTAAGAATTCTCATGTGTTTTTACTAAAGAAGTTGTATCTGAAAAACTTTTTAGACACTCAGAACACTGATATGGTTTCTCTCCAGTATGAATTCTCATGTGTTGTACTGAAGACGATTTATCTGAAAACTCTTTTAGACACTCAGAACACTTATATGGTTTCTCTCCAGTATGAATTCTCATGTGTTGTATTAAATGAGATTTTTGTGAAAATTTTTTTTGACACTCTGAACATTTATATGGTTTCTCTCCAGTATGAATCCTCAGGTGCTGTAATAAAATTTGTTTTCTGTTAAACTCTTGAAGACATTCCGAACATTTATATGGCTTTTCTCCAGTATGAATTCTCATGTGTTCTACTAAAACATATTTTCTGGCAAACGCTTTTAGACACTCTGAGCACTGATATGGTTTCTCTCCAGTATGACTTCTCATGTGTTTTACTAAACCTGATTTAGCTGAAAACTCTTTTAGACATTCTGAACATTGATATGGTTTCTTTCCAGAATGATTTTTCATGTGTTCTAATAAACATGATTTATCTGAAAACTTTTCTAGACACATACAACACTGATACTGTTTCTCTTTGGTATGAATTTTCATATGTCTCACTAAATACTTTTTTTTAGAAAACTCTTTCAAACACATTAAACAAAAAACTGTGTTTTTTGCATTCATTAATTGTTACAAGTGATTCACAATGAGATTTTTGTGAGGAATGTGAATACTGATGAAGTTCGACTTCTGGATGAACTGTAACATGTGATGCTTGAACACTTTCTTTATCAAGTATATCAACATAGTGAACAAAACCCTTTCACTATAAGAACCCAAAAATTAAAAGTGTTTGAGGTGTCAAATTTCTGAAAGGAGAAAAAAATTTCTTTGGAAATGGCAGAGAATCTTTTGTTAAGGTAATGACTCCAGAAACATAAAATATGATGCAAACTTGTAGAATTAAAGAGCAATCTGAGCACATCAGCAATTTCACCTTTTGCTCATTCCAAAAATTTTTTTTAGCTTATTCACAGTAGCTAAAGTGCATAAGATGTTGCTAATTTGATTAATTAACACAAAATTCAACAAATTCTAATCTGAAAACAATAAAAATGAACAGAGTATGCATTCCAGCAACGTATCATCTGTTCATTAATCATCTTTCCCAGCCTCTAGTATATTACGCCTTCCCTCTGTTTTGAATCCACACACACAAAATATAAGTTTTACCCTATTTCTCAGATAATAAAAATAACCAGGAAAAATTGTTTGTGATTTAGGCCATCCTAATAATTGAAGATGAGAGGGGAGAAGGAGTCTTTCCTAAAGAAAAAATTGTCAAAAATTAAATATTTCAAGCTGCTTCTGGTTTTGAAATCAACCAAATTATTCTTTTCAGTAAATGATGTCCATTTTATCAACCAGTACCAAGAAACAGCACAAAACCAGGAAAAAAACATCCTAAAACCACCTCAAAGTCACTATTAAAACCAAACAGGTCAGAGGTCAGTTTTTTCTCAGGATGCACTGCTTGGGAAGGATTTGATTTACACTGTGCACTTGCTCCGAAGACACATCCTCGCATGTCTACACCCAAATTTACTACTCACAGCCTATGTGAGACAACTGTGCTTAAAATGTAGACCTACAAGTGTGGGGTTAATAAGTAGACCTACATGATAACACTGATTAATAATGTAGAAACCCACGTGAGTAACACTGATTAATAATGTAGACCACAAAAAAAACATGTCACATTAGTGCACTTGTGTCCATTTATCGGGAACTATATACTGTCGGTCTATCCCCTAAACACCACACTATAACATCTCAAGTTTGTGCTCCCTTATGATAACTTTTCAAATGTGTCAAAATAGCCTGAGCTAGCCCGCAATTAATCTTCACTAAAGCTGAATAAAAAGAAGTTGGAAATAATGGAGAGGTTGTGGGGAATTATCTCCCCTGGGCCTCAGTCCAAAGACCAGGCCCTTCCTAGCTCCCCCTGGACTCATCACAGACCAGGCCTCACAGGCAATAAAACCCCCTGGCTCCGTCACAACCAGGACTTTCCTAGGTAGGAAAGGAACTATTTACAGGATAAGAACTATTATTACAAAACACAAAGTAAAAAGTAATAAAGGAAAGCTCTGTTGTTTCTGCTCCCTCTTTAACGTTCTCTCCCGTTTCAGCAGTATTTCATATGTAATTATTTTTGTTTCTTTTTTTCCTGCCTTCTTTGCACAACAGTTTGTGTCGGGAAATTCCCAGTGTCATTTTTAATTATTGAATGTATTTTAATTCATTTTATTTTTGTAATGTAATTTTTTTATGCCTAGAAGTACTGAACACTATATAGTATGTGTAAACATGTTATATGCATTAAGACATGTTTGATATTGAAAAAAAAAAAAACTTTTCCCACTTGCACAGCAACTATTGAGCTTAGCAGTTGAGTGGGTCAGGAATAATAACAGCCCATGAAAACAGACCTCTTGTAATAACAACATTGTCAAACAAAAGCCCTAAACCGGGAACTCAAGGAAAGTAAACATTGTGTGTGTTGTACATATGATAAAATCGAGGTTTGGTAACAAACTTAACGCTGAAAAATTTTCCACACCAGAGAGTGTCGACTTAAATTCAGTGGCGACTTGTGCAGGGGTGCGCAGAATGCAGCACCCCCTAATTTTCACTTGATTATTATCGATAACATTCAACATGAAGGTCCCCCCTTATTTTTCTTGAAATCTTTCCTTTAATACCTTTACATATTATATAATCAAAAAAATAAAGAAAAAAAGGTGCTGCAGCACCCCCCGCATGACCGCGCCACATAAAACTTAAATTTCTTTCCAATGTCCACTGCTCATATTAAACCTCCACCGACAACAACTTGTCAGTTAATGTGTTGGTTATTACCTTTGGGTGGTTTGATTCCTGAGACCAGTCAATAACATGAATGTATACATATGTCTGGCTTATGTATGATAATTCAATTAACTCTATTTATGTGTATTTTACTAATAACAGGCTGACTGACTGGACATACTGATTGACCTGACCAAACGACTGACGTACTGACTTAACGACTTGACTGTCTGACTGACTTACTGATAGGACTACTGACCCCACGGACTGTACTGACTGAGACTAGATTACCTGACTGACGAGAATATAGTTGACTTTAACATACTGACAGACTAATTGACCTACTGACATTGGCTAACTATAGTTTAGTGAGTACGACCAACTGAGGAACAAGCTAAATGAGAAAGGTTATGAAAATGATAACGCTTGAAACAACTGATAAGCCACTGCCGTGTCCAAGACTAAACTTCTGGTAAACAGCTACAATACCGTTGACTGGTTGAGAGCTGTTCATTAAGTCCTAGTGGTCTTTAAAAACAGGTAGGATTGTTAAGTGAGGAGTACCTGTATATAACTTTAAACATTGCTACTCATAAAGACCATGATAAAAAAAAAAAGTCACGAAAAATAGAATATAACACCTATAGAAAAGTCCAAAGATTTATATATATATGAGTCACTTTCAATATACAGGGTACCTCGGCCCATACATCTCTCAATCCATCTCCAGCTCTTCTTGGACCACGAATTCCTAAACACCAATTTTCCTACATAAAAATATAGTATATGAAAATGATAATTCGTATTCCCATCAACAGAAATGCTGAACACTGACAATGATGCACCTGCGCGCATTCTTTGAGTGATTGTGAAATTAGCTGATTGTATATAAAATAATACGTCGTAGATTGTATTAGCATCATATTGAAGTATGTCATGCCTCTTAAAGCAGAATTTCTGCTGGAATGAGATTACTGCAAGTAAATTAATTTTAATCAGAAAACTACTCAGCAACACAAACAGATCGGGATACAAACGAGTCATGGAACGGATTAAATAAATTTTGTCAGGGCTAAAGAGTTCCCACTGTATATGTAACACATATTGCAACCTATTGCAAAGAAATAAAATTTTTGAGTTATACTTAATTAAGCAAACCTCTCTCGAGGGGAAGTTCGCCTTCCCGAAATTTTTTCCATTCGTATCCATAAAGAAGCAAAAAATCGACCAAACAACGTTTGTATCCGAGTTTTTCCACTGTATTAACGATAGGATGTGTCGAGTGGCCAGTTAGTGCAGCGAATAGCGACGGGTGTGGGGTGGGTTCACTTCCTTGATATGAGTTATGACACTCGCCGGCACTCACGACTTCTCGGGTTTGTCTATTTTGCGAGGTTCTTTATACATGCGTCTAGACCATTTTAAATTTTTGGGAAAGAACATAAGAAAGAATGAACACTGCAGCAGGCCTACTGACACCATGCTCAGCGGGTCTATGCCCCCTCGGGCTTAGACCATGACCCACTAGTCCAGGTCACATCCAATAACTAAGGAAGGAGCACGGCTTCTGACCTAGTTAGTACACGCTTAGTCAGGACCAACGCACACCCACCCACACCCACTCAAGTATTTATCTACCTATTTTTTCTAAAAACTACACTAAACGGTTCTTTGCTTCTAATGAGAACAGACCATACAGTGGATCTCCCGCCATAACCTAGTAATCCGTTCCTGAAGAGCTCAATGTTATGTGAAATTATCGTTCTGTGAATTAATTTTCCCCATAAGAAATAATGGAAATCAAGATTAATCCTGCAAGACCCCCAAAGTATGAAAAAAAAAATTTTTTTTACAGAAATATAAATTTTAAAATACACACAAACTTAAGAAACCTGCACAGTTACATGACACTTACCTTTATTGCGATATGTAGCTGATGATTGATGGGATGGGAGGAGTAGACTGATGTTTTGTTAGTGTTTAGAAAGGGGCAATCCCCTTCCCATTAGGACTTGAGGAGCAAGTCCTTTTCTGGGGTCGCATCCCTTCTTCTTTTAATCCACTAGGACTCAGCTCAGAAGTCGCTGACCATCTAGTTTGCACCACATATCTGCCCATAGTGCAGCCAGCAGCAACAGCCTGTTGATCAGGCCTGATCCACCAGCGGCCTGGTACACAGACCGGGCCGTGGGCGTTAGACCCCCCGGAACTCCTCCAGGAAAACTCAGGTAATAGTGGCCTGATACCTCTTCGTTCCTTTATGACTTTTCCTAAAAGTTTTCACAACAGTTCATTGTAATTAGTCACCAGCACGGCTTGCAATAAGCTTTCTGAGGGTGATTTTCATCCATGAAGGTTGCACTTCAAGCCCACTTTGCACAGATTTTCCTTAATCTTGAAGTAGGCAACTTCTTCATTTCTCTCTCCCCTCCTCCAAAGCAATTTCCTCAGTGTGGCCCTCCTGCTGTTTGAGTTGATCTAGCAGCTTCATCAGTGGGGTTAGTACTTCAGTGTCCTCCTCCCAAAAAACCCCCCACCCCCCCCTCAACAAAAAAAAAAAAACCCTCTTTCCACATCTCCCCACTTAACCCCAACCCCCAAGGACTTCCCCAATGCCACAATTGATTCCTCAACCTGGCATAGGATTTCTCAGGGTTAGCCTCAAATCCTTCAAAATCCCTTGGTCCTACACATTCTGGCCAACCAGTTTTCTTCCCCCCCCCAAGCAGAGTTCAAGGTCT